GTCTAGGGATGATGAGAACTTAGGCAAATGAAGCCAAAGACAAAATTATTATCTCAACAAAGCCTTCCTTCAATGACGTCTGTACACTGTGCAGTTTTCTCTGTTCGATAGGAACACAATGCTTGTTTGTATTGATGCTGCATCAATATCTTTCTGAGCAATGTTCTTCATTTTCCTCCCACTTGAACTTTTTAAGCCTTGAGAGAATTAGTTGAAAAACCAGGTCTTTGGGTGGATACTGACATTAAGCCCTCTTTCTCTGTCACTTGGAATCATAAATCCTGGAAAACAGTCCTAATTCTCTTGTGTGTTATTTTCTAAGAGAATGATTGACAGACTTTTTTTTAAAACCTCAAAATCTCTCACATTTACTTCGTTCCTAATCACTGAGCCCTGCCAATTGAAGGCATCAGGTATGGGTGGACTGTCTAGGCCTTCACACACACACACACACACACACACACACACACACACCATTGATGCAACTGTTGTCAATCTCCTTTCCCACTTCTGTCCACCCATCTGAATCCTGCTCATCAAGCAACATCTCCCACCAGCCTTCCCAGAGCCTCCCCTTCACTGGATCTCTCAGTCTCTATCTGAGACCTCACCTGAGGTTTACACCTTAGGTTGAAGTGAGAGAGGCCCCTCATTGGGGTTAAGACTAAGGCTTTCCCCTCAGGACAAAGGGTCCATGGGACTAACATGCTATGCGTGCCTGAAGCCTGCACCTTCCCTTATAGCCCATGCTCTTGGGTCCATAAAAATCCCTTGCTGTCAAACAGCCACACAGTCTTTTTCAAAGTCTTTAGATCTTTTACTTTGTCCCATCCAACAACATCACAGGTACATCCTAATACCCAAGGCCAGGAGTCAGCTACCTGTATATGAGGTGTTCACCCTCATTCACACAGCCCCTCAAGTTGTGGGGCTAGAAGGGAGTGGGGAGGAGGAGCAGCCAGTGTCCAGAGCCAGCTTTCTGAACTTGTCATGTTGAGTCATTCTGATTTTGCCATTGGGCCCACGTGAAATCCTCGGGTCATTCTGTACATCTTAAACTGAGTCTTCCAGTGTCCATGGACTACCATGAGTTATTTCAATTTAAGGACACATACAAGGTGAATTTGTTCAAAGTACATTATATTCATGTATGGAAATATCACAATGAAACCCCTTTGTGCAATGAATATATGCTAATAAAATGGTTTTCAGTGAAAGAACACACTACATAAACAGAAAGGGAAAGGAGTGAAGGATGAATAATACAAGAGTTGATACATTCTGAGCAGCATTCTTGACACAGATGGTTCATTCAGTCCCATAATGATCCTGCCGGGCTTCATTGCCACCCTTTGAGAATTAGGAAAACAAGACTCTGAAAAGCTGACTTTTACCACGGGCTCACGAGAAGATGGAGACAGCGCCGTCAGGGCCTCACTGCCCTCTGCCCTGCGTCTCCCTGGTGTCTGAGTCATCCATATCAACCTCGCCCTCAAAAGTAACTATTCCATGGATACTTTCCTGTTTGTGAGGTGACAACATCTGAAAAGCAGACCCTGATGCTTCACTTTGCAAAGACTAGTGCTCAAAGGAAAGGAGCAGATTTGAAAGACCTGACTGGTCCCATATGTGACTTTTCTGGCAGACCTAGCATCAGCTAGTTCCTTATCCAGGGTGAGGTATGGTCTTATTTATTGAGGTTGCAGGATTAGGAATCCCAAAGACCTTCGTAAATTTTGACCTTGCACAACTGAGCAATTTTCAGTTGTTTTACTTGCAGATAACACCACTTCCCTTGTCTACCATGGCACAGATCTTACTAGGGAACAAATGCTCATAGCATGAGGTTAGTGAATATGAAGGGAGACACATGCATTCTGCTAGGGAATGAGATTTCCGAAGAGGAGCCTTTATACACATATTCAGTGATATGATATAAAAATGGCAGGGAACTGGAGAGCAGTGTCCTACACCCGAAGGGACTGAATCCCAGAGACAGTAGGTGGTTTAGTCATCAGAGTGGGCTCAGGCTACAAGAGCAGTATTTCCTGTCTGCTCATCCAGTGTACTCTTTCTACAGCTTAACATTCAGTGTACGGATTGAGCAATATATTTTTAAATAATATTAAAGTCACATCAAAACAAATGTAGGTGGTGGGTGTGGGCATTGTCTCTAGAGACATGGGGGCAGGGAGTTTTGTGTATAAAAGAAAAGGAAATTAAATACTTAGTCTTTGATGGTACAGGATTCCCTCAGCCTCCTGTGGACATTTCCCTGCATCATGATATTTATTGATATAAAAGAGTCTTCCAAACATCTCAATTGAAAAAGGTAATGAAAAGAATAAAGTTTTGTTCAAGGGAAGGAATTTAACCATATACTACTGCTCAGAGTTATCATTTTATTATTAAGCTTAAGGAACCTAACAAATACTCCTAGAAATGATGCATTATCTGCATCGATGAACATGAAGGAAAATGACTTAAAAAGCAGGAAAAATTTTTGTTTCATTTTAATTTTCTGAAACACGCATGATTTTATTCAACCTTAAGGGAAGTAGAGCATGGGATTTACCAGGAAGAAAAAAATAAGTAAATAAGACTGGTCGAGTCAACTTTCCATACTCCACGTATTAATGAATCTAAGAGCATTAAAGAGAAGTGACACTCACTGGTTCAAGAATAGGTTTTCTTACAAAAGCTGGAAAACTACAGCGAGACCATAAGGTTTTCAAAATCCACTTGTCTACAGAAGTGAAAGAGGATTATATTTAACAAAGATTTAGATGTACTCACTTTCTGGAAGTATTTTATTACAATCAAATTTATTAAATTTTATCCTATTTACTTACTTTTAAAACATCTGCAAATGATATAATTTACCCGCACATCTAGTGTAACACTATGTCTCTGTATTTTAACAAACCTGGGCCTCGTGTTAAATTAAGCTGTTCAAATTGACTTTTGAGGGGGATTTCTGTGAACACACCACATACACAGTAAATGCCTTGAAAGGGAGAGTGCCGATTCTTTTTTAAAATCAGACCTTTTAAAGTCATTTACTCTAAGTAACTTCCCTCCCCACACACACACACACACACACACACACACACACACACACACACACACCTTTTTAAAGAAAAACGAAAGAAAAAAAAAAAGGGGTGGGCTGCAGGCACTTCTGCGGTTGCCAGAGAGGAATATGGTAAGAGCAGGAGATTACGGTACTAGCTGGGCTACTGCCTGTGTTGCTTCAGCGGGAGCTGCAAAGTTCCTTGCCTGTCTTTTCTGGTGTCGAGGAGACGAATATTAAAGGGGTGACTGTGGAGTTAATGATTGGCTATATTTTTTTCTCTTTTTCTGTGTCCACTATTTTAAGAATATTCAGGTAAAGCAGTGCGACTCCAGAATTTGAGGACATCCATGCTGGAGGGGTGAGTCAGCGAGTGCAAAAACGATTAGGATTTAGTTCCTCGGAGACTGTCCCCTTCTCAGCGACCAGAGAAGAGGCGATAGGCAGCTCCTGGGACTGAAGCTGGCCAACTTCTCCCCGCCGTCACGCGCTTCGGGTGAGTGCGCGCGGCGCGGGGCCACCCGCAAGGCCGGGTGGGCGAGGACAGCGCTCCACTGGCCTCCAGGTGAGACCGACCCCCACTTAACCCAGGGCCTGGGCTGTCTTCCCCCGGTTTTATGCAAACACCCTACCCCATCGCCCTTTCCCATATAGATTCTGGGAAGTTCCTTCCAGTTAACAAGTGTTTGCTTAACCCTCTGTTTCATAGCCCCGAGTAGGAAAAAGCGAGTTCTGCAGTGGCAGGTCTTTAGTGTCGCCTATGAAGGCTTGAATTTGGGATTTTCACAGTAGCCTTCGCCTGGGATTCTTGTCTCAGGGCCTAAACCTAGATGGAAAGTGGGCACGTCCCCACACCCCGCACTCCTGTCCAAAGTCCCCGAGGACCTTTTGCGGTTGTGGAAATCTAAGTTTCTTACCCAGATCGTGGCCCCCAAACCAGAAAATCCAAGGCGTCCGAGGTCCGCTGGAGCGCAGGCTTGATTTTTATACGCCTACAAAACCCGCAGTGACTGTCACTTGCAAAGCCCCTTCTGCAGAGCGATGCGCGCCCCACCCCATTCCCCAGCAGCCCGGGTGTGGCTCGCGCGGCTCGAGCCCCTGCGGCTGGTGACTCTCTGTCTTGGAAACCCAACCAGGACCGACCTGGGTGGCGTTTAGCCCTCGGGACCGCTGGGCTTTGCTCGGGACCTGGCTCTCGGGCCAGCTTGGCTGGTAGGCAGACCCGCGCGCTCTGAACCTACCAGTGCAAATTCCTGTGGCGTGAGCGTGCGTGTGGCACTATCCCTGCGGTTCCCGGGTCTCAGAGGTTCCCTCTCCCAGGCCGCCCCGCTCCAGGTGACTGCAGTGCAATCTGTTCAAATGACTACCGGGTAGATTCTCCGGCTTGGCTCACAATGACCCACGCCAGCCAGCCTCAGTCGCGCCTGGGAGGCTTCAGGATTTTATTTTTCGGACGCCGACGCTTGGGTTTTTTTAAATTATTATTATCGTGGGTTTTTCTTTTCTTTTCTTTTCTTTTTTTTTTTTTTTTTGAGGGGAGGAGGTGCTTTAGATCTTGAACTTGGCCAGAGGTAGAGAGGCAGAATATGCGCAGGCAGGATCCCGGCAGTGAGGGCGCAGGGTATGCAGCACGCAGTCCCTTCTCGTGCCCCGGTGTCGCCTCGGATCTGTTGAGTAAAAACCGCTCCTGAACCGCAGTGTCAGCGGGGCTGCCAGCACGGCCTAGCCCTCCAGGGCGCCTGGCTCACCGTGCACCTTTCTCTTTGCGCTCTTCCAGCAGGACGCAGGCAAACGGAGCTCAGGCGCCACCTCGGTCCGGTCGCAGGAAATATTTCACACCCGCATCACCCAGCTCAAACACGAGCCCACGATGGAGAAGCCTAGTCGAGGGTAGCTGCGGGCAGGAGTTATCATCTGCAGCGCCCGGATGCCGATGGTCCCTGCCTTTCAGCGTCGACGGCTGGCCCATTCTAGCCCGATCAGCCAGATCAACAAGGAGCCAGGCTACGTGCTCTTCTAGGCTCTGGGCTCCGTCTATGTACCACTGACCATCATTCTGGCCATGTACTGCCGCGTCTACGTGGTGGCCAAAAGGGAGAGCCGGGGCCTCAAGAAGGACAAGTCAGACTGGGAGCAAGTGACATTACGCAATCATCGGGAAAATGCTCAGGCGGAAGGAGGCGGGGTGGGCAGCGCTGAGAACAAGACGCACTTCTTCGTCAGGCTCCTCAAGTTTTCCCGGGAAAAGAAAGCGGCCAAAACGCTGGGCATCGTGGTTGGCTGCTTCGTGCTCTGCTGGCTGCCCTTTTTCCTAGTGATGCCCATTGGTAAGTCTTTGCAGAACCATTTCTTAGTATGTAGGGGTCTGCAACCCCCAAGACTCACAGTCAAGGGTAGCAGAGGGGTCTGCGCGTGAAAAGGCTCCCTGATGAAAATGAGAAGTTTCATTCCCTCTACCCCAGTCTCATTCACATCAGGTTCTGGGGCACTTTTTCAACTACTGTAAAGTGGCCGCTAATTGATGCAGATTAATTGGTCTCCTTAATAAGAGTGCCAACTTTTCTTAGTGCCTTTAAGCTTATATTTAATTTAAATGTACCCCAGCTCTCTGACTCTCAGTCTCTACCAAGGGCTTGGGCAGATCATGAAATGCCACTTTCACTCTGCTACTGAGGAGGAATGCAAACTCCCTTGGCCTGAAAACAAGCAGCATGCTGATTCAGGGCAAATGTGTGATTTTAGTATTGCCTTTGATTGCTCATAAGGGTTTATGTTGCTATATCTGTATTAAATTTATTTTCTGGGGTCAGCGTGGAAGAAACAAAAATTATTTTATGTCCAAACCAATTTAAACCTTAAAGAATTCATATTTCCAGTAGGTAAATATTTATTCCTTTCTTTTGTGAGCTAAGCATTAAAACATACACTACTCTTATCCCACATCACCCAGGAAGTTGTAGGTGACACTGTTTGAAGATAATACAGTGAAGTTACAAATCCAGTTTTTTACAGATGCTAAATTAGCTGTTGTCAAAACTAATTAGCTCATTATATGTACCAGCAAGCTGATCCACTTGGAATAGTGGTTTATCTCTGAAAGACCTTCAGTGAGATCCCAAAATGGTTGTTTGCTATTTTTAATTAGTGAACTCAAACATAGAAACACACATTGATTACCCACTACCTCTTAGCAAACAGATAGTCACAGTAAAAATTCATAAAAAGTCCATTTCAAGTACCTCAGTGCCAAATTTCAATGGCATGAATGTGAAGTACTTCACTTTGCAACTGTGTTGTAATTGTAGCTATTATATCTGAGTGCCAAGTATGCTTCAGACATTTTTATCTTACTAGTTCTTTCAACAACTTTTATCCTGAAATCACAGGTGGGGAAAGGGATTCTTCAGCTTCTAATACCACAGCCACCTGTAGCTATTTAAATGTGAGCTGAAATTAGACAATATCAAAATTCGTTCCTCAGTCTCACTAGCCATCTTTCAAGGGTTCAGTGGCCACACATGGCCCACTGGCTTCTGTCTTTGGCAGCAAAAATACAGATTATTGCTGTTATTACAGAAACTTCTATCCAACAGCACTTCTAGAGAGGTCTTTCCAGGTCCACCACCTGGTCTTCCACTGTCCCTGCCTGTCATTGTTATTTAGCTTGCAACTGGAAGGACATCACAGCTTTGAATTTACTGAAATAACATTCTTTACCAAGCCTCTGCCAGATCACCAACCTCCCTGCTTCCCACCTTCCTGCTTCCCACCTCTTCCTGACTCTTGAACTTGACACATTTATCCACATATCTGCTTGCTCAGTATTTATTGAACACTCGTCTTAAGCACTTAGGGTGAACAAGGCAGAAAAGTCCTTGCCCATGAGATGTTTGCTTTTTTTTTTTTTTTGAGGAAACAGATGTAAACAAATAAATATAGTCCCAAAAGTCAAGAATTAACAAGCCCTAACAGGTAATGGAACAGGTGATCTTGAAAGACCTACCTGGAGAGGGACCATTTGAGCAGAGCCCTGACTGTCACAAGGAGCCAGGACTGTAAAATCTGCAGGAAGAGCTCCCAGACAGAGGGCACAGTCAAGAACAGAGATAGGGGTAAGCCTGACTTGCTTGGGGAAGAGCAAGAGGGATTGTCTGGCTGTTATTTTAAGGGATGATTCTGACTGATGACTGGAGAATGAGCTACTGGGGGGCAAGAGTGCAAACAAAGAAGCCATTTAGGAGCTGTAGGAGAAGTCAGTTGAGGGGAGAGAGGTCAGAGGTTCTGAGGCCCTGGACTTGGGTGAGACAGGTAGAGGTGGCAAGTGTCATATTCAGAAGTTACTTCAAAGATAGAGCTACAAATTTGGAATGAGGTATGAGAAAAGAGGAAAATTAAGGATAATTCCCAAGTTTGGGACCTGAATAACTGGGTAAATGGTGGTGATTTTTACTATAATAGGAAAAGCAAAAACAACAAAAAAACAGAGAATGACAAGCTTGGAAGGAGCAAGTAGGAGAGGGAATTTGGATCATTATCTGTTTTGTACACTATGCTGAGAATTGTCTGTTAGACATCTAAGTAGACTGCCAGGTAAGGAGTAGACATGTGAATTTGGAGTTTAGGTGCACCACCAGTAAAAACCAGAACTCAGCAGCACCTGCAAATCCTCAGGAATGGAGAGCTGGGGCAGGGTGGGGCGGGGAAGGCATTGAGAGAAAAAAAGATGGGAACTAAGCCTGGGGGTTCAGATACTTGGGTGTCAGGAAGAGAAGGGTGCAACCCACAGAGGAGGTAGAGGAGGGGTGACCTGGGAGGCAGGAGGAAATTCAGGAGAGCTGAGGCAGAGGAAAATGTTAGAAGAAGGCAGGAATACTCAACCATGTCACACACGGCTGCTGGGGAAGTAAGAGGAGGACTGGGGACCAACAGCAAGTGGACTTGGCAATAGGAGGTCCTTAGCAAAGGAGGCTAATGGCTTCCATTGACCAATGGGAACAACACCGACTGTGTGCTTTCTACAGACAATGAAAGGTGAAGTAGGGACAAGGAAAAGAGACAAGTCTTTGGAAGAGTTTGCTAGAGTGGTGCTGGGAAAGGGGGTTTTGCTGGGGTATCTAGAGGGTCATCATTGGTGGGGAGAGAGCATCATCCTAAGTTCTCCTGGGATGGTGGAACAAAGAACACTAGCAGCACAGGCAAGAGAGAAGATGGGATTCAGTGCCCAAGAGGAAGAAGTGACAAAGAAGGCAAAAGGTGTGAGCACTAGGCAAGAAGCCAAGGAGGGAGAGATAGAGGTGTCTTCCAATAATGGGCTAAGAACAACGAGGAAGGGATAGGGTGTGTGGCAGTTCAAGGAGCAAAGAGATGATGTGAACACCCACCTCTGAGAGTGGGAGAAGAAATACACCATGCAAACGTGGTGGAGTCCGAAGTCCTGATGGGACTTAGGGGAGTTAAGTCAGGGACTTAACATAGCACAACTGAGGAGGCTGTGTGACGCTGGCCATAGCTGAGCAGCTGAGGGTAGAGGGATATGGCTAGGGATGGATATGAGTTCTAGGTAGCAGGGTGAAGAGGGGACAAATGTCCGTTAAGGGACACAGACTGGGTCAGATTAGAGCACACACGGAACCAGGGAATAGAAAAACTACAGGGACTGTGTTGGTGACCAGTCGCTGTAGAAAGATGAAGTTCCAAGGCCAATGTCCTGCAGGGGAAGGTAGAGGTATCGGTCTTCGTACAGCCTCCCTCCTAGGTCTGTGCTCTCAGGGGGTTAGTAATACTGAAGTGAAGACATAATGGCAGAGGTGTGTTGTGGTAACACAAGCTTCTGTATTCTGTCTCAGAGTCACTGGACTTCCTTTAAATCCTAAGTCAGGGTGTGGCCACAGTGAAACTGAAAAGTTACACCTCACAGTGTCTGACCAGGCTGCTCAGGAGAGCAAAGGACCCCTAAACCCACAGATCTGCAATTTCCTAACACCAAGTCAGTGCAAAGCTATTTTTCCCAGGGTGTATGGGTGGTTTAAAAGGCCCCAGCACAGAGTTAGACAGAATGACAAAGATGGGTAAAGCAAACCCCATCCTTATAGGGCCTCGCAATCTAGTTAAGGAGACAAACTGTGAATGTTGAACACAGGGCTAGGAGATTGGTGCTCTACTGGCATTATTACCAGATGCTGAGGAAAACAGCACTTATCTTCATCTGGAAGTCATCGCAGAAGCTTCCAGAAGTACCACTGCTGACTGAGCAGGTGCTTAAAAGAAGACAGCACTTCTTCTGCTGGGCTCTCAGCTATGTGTTATTTGTTTTTATTAACAAACTTAAGTCTATTTTTCATGCAAAATGTGAACCAAAAAAATAAATACACCATTATGTTATCATACCCAAGGGACATAAGCTTTTAAGTATGACAAGTGCTCTCCAGGGAAAAAGAGGTTATCAGGCTGCACTAGGCTGTGGGGGACCAAGGCAACAAAGATGAAACCAGAGCAGGGCTGAGCATGGCATACAAAAAGACTTTGTGTCCTCCTGGCTGTCACACCTCACTTTTTCCAAACTTCTCTCCCCTCAAGGCTGTTCTGCTTGCTGGATTGAACAGTGAAATTGCAGGTAGGAATTCAACTTGCCTGGTCTTTGTTCATTTTTGCATCCCAAATGCTGAGTTGAAATGCAGAGCCCCTCAGCAGAGGGAGGTCACATTGGAGCTTGCTGTCTGTCATTTTTACCTGGCAGTGAATGTTTGCAAAAGTACATTTTGGTTGTGGAGATGAGTAGAGAGAATAAAAAGGTGTTATCCTTCAACCATGGAAGAGAAGGAAGGATGAAGACAGCCTCCCAGAAAGCTTCACTGCCTGGAGCCTGTGCGTCATCTGTACCTGTTTCACCTCCATGTCTAGTGCCTACTACTTCCAGAGGCAGTGGGCCAAATGGAAAAAGAAGACAGGGATGAGATTGAAACCTAGGTTTTCTTTTTCATAAAACAGGCCAGCTGCCTCCCATCATGCCTAGTACAGAGCAAATAGCAACAGTTGTTAATCTTAGCAGGATTCATGTGAATCACGGGTTACTGACAGGTTGACAAGGATGTTGAGGTGGAAGGTGGATGTACTTGGAGGTACAAGAAAGAGAGAGCATCAGAAAGAAAGGGATGAGGGGGTCAGCGTTTATTGAACTTGCATGTCTGCATTCTGGACACATTCTCCAGTTTAAATAAAAAACCTGGACCTATGCCATTGCTATTAACTCTGAATCAAAGGAGGCAGTATTGGGTTGCAATGTGACTTACAGGGACAAAGAATATTTGAGAATTATGTTTAAAAAGAG